GGGGGATGAGAGAGAGAGAGAGAGAGAGAGAGAGAACATTGGCTAAAGCTACATTGTTAGATTTCTACCAAGCTGGTCCTCATACATTGCATCATGCGTGTGCATGTTATACTGAGATAAATATGCGAGGTGTCGGGGTGGAACCTGAAAAACGTTGAATAAGGGCACACAAAACGTAAATGCTTGGTTTTCAAGGACCCTAAAGCTACGGAAGTCACAAAACTTTGGCGGCCATTTCCTCACTAGTTTTACCGCTAGAATCAGGCCACCCAACCTCCTTGAAATGCCAAAAACCAACTGTTCAAGATAGATGGAACGGTCCCCCCCCAGTTACTGTTGTTGTTGTTGATGATGATGATGGTGATGATGATGGTGGTGGAGAGGTGGTGGTTGTGGTTTTGGTTTGGGTTGTGGTTGTGGTTGTGGTTGTTGTGGTGGTGGTAATCGTGGTGATGCTTTTTAAAAATTGAGAAAGGGTTGAGGATAACGATACTAACGCCACTTATTCATTATTTGATGTATAAGAGCGGGGGAGGAGGGGAGGGGAGATGTCTTGAAATGAGAACTGGAATCTGGAAATGGGAACAGCAATCTTATTCTGCATTTTTTTGGACTGACTTAACCAATTATTAGTTACTGCTTATATTTTGGGGGTATAGGTCTACTGCAGGCTACAGTTCCTTATTACTTTTTTTGGGCCATTTTGAGTTACTTAGATCTTGAGGTCAGAAATCAAAATCTGAAGAAACCACCGACTTAGATTTTTAATTTGTATTTTTGAGAATACAACTAATAGGTGTTTACAAAATAAAAACCATTGATCTGTTAAGACATTGATACAAGTCATTGTGCAAAAGCTGGAGAGTCTATGATAGGTAGTTCAGGGAAATATTTGACAATAAGTTGCGTACCTCGAATTTTTTTTACAGAACTTTAATGCAGTAAAGTCATCTTATTCTAAAGTGAAGGTGAATTCCCAACACTATGCAGTGCAGCAAGTAAGTTCCAAGAAACGACCACCTGGATCATGATTTGTAACTTTTACTGGTGCCCACGGATGTGATAAAACAGACGCGACAGGTAATAAAACGGACACGGCAGCATGTGGCATTGGAACGTAGCAGGTTCTGTTTTTATTTTATTTAAAAAAAAAAAAAATTGGGGGGGGGGGGGGGGGGGGGGGTAAGTGATTTACGGCCCTCGCAACTGCTTAATAAGGTCATATTATGAACCCTCGGAACACATTTAACATTTTCACTTTAGTAGAAAATTTTGAATTATGCCCGGGTGGCGGCCAAAGCCTAGATCTACTCTTATCGATTTTAGACCACCAAGGGGTCTTTGAGATTTTTCGCTCTTGTCCGAGGAGGCTTGGTGTATATCTTTCCCCCCAGAAGTTCAGGGGTGTAGCTGAAAGACAGAAGTAAGAAGGAGCCAAGGAGGAGAAGTTGAAAGGCGGCAGAAAGATTCAGGAGCCCAGAGGAGGGGGCAAAGAAGGTGAGGGGGTTGGGACAGAAAATGGAGACGAAAGCAGAGGACAGAACATTGCTAGAGAGCAGGAAAGGAGGTGAAAGGAGACAGTTAGAGAATTCGAACCCGGGACTTTTGAATGAGAGGCGAGCACCTTAACCTCTTGGCCATGAGAACACCCCCCCCCCCTCGACTCTGTTTGAATTCTCGTGAAAATGAATGGTGTTTGTGCCCAATTTGTCACAGGTCCAGTTTGTCACCATTTCATTGAAGTATTTGAGTATTGATAACAGTCATAATTACAACACTTAAACACTGTAGTTGTAACTTAAGTTTTTTTTAATTCTCCGCCTCCAAATCGATGTGGTAGAGAGGTAGAGATAGTCCCTCTAAAATGTCAATTCAGCTTGTGTTGTTCAATATTTCTTCCTTTTTGTATGCAAATCGAAGCAAATTAGGCTACTCTGTAAAATTTCAACCATGAATGTTCTTTCGTTAAAAGCAATTGAAAAATTAAATAAAATTCATACAATCAATAATTCATTTACTCTTTTTGAGAGTGTCATTGTTAACTTCCATCATGCAGGGCAAGTCGAGACCTGCGACAAACTGGGCCTGTGACAAACTGGCATGCTTCCGCAATAAAATAATAGTACTTGGCATTACCGTAGACTGATTTGTCTCAGAGGCAAAATTGGCGCGAAGATAGATAGATAGACAGATAGATAGATAAATAAATAAATAGATAGATAGAGAGAGATAGAGAGGGAGAGGGAGGGAGAGAGAGAGAGAGAGAGAGAGAGAGAGAGAGAGAGAGAGAGAGAGAGAGAGAGAGAGAGAGAGAGAGAGAGAGAGAATGCAGGGGGGGGGGGGGATTAGAGAAATAGACGATCTGATAAAAGATGCATATTATTATATGAAACCCACAGAATGGACAGTTAAAGACAAAGTAATTTAATATATAGTGATAATTACACTCAAATAATGCTTCAGCAGTGCACATAGCCTACATGTAAATAGAGTTTAGTGCTTTATAATTATAATATAAGATTATATATTATTGTGTACGAACTACTAGCCCTACTTATAGTAACAATCTAATAACATGTTATAGTTATAATGATATCTAATCTCGAAGTAGAGAGTTCAGTGCAAGGAGGTTACATGTCCTTGGTGTACCGGTACTCGTCCCTTAAGTTCAGCAAGACTATAATATGATTTAAAATTGATTCTTAATTATTGATGACTATACTTCGATATAGATATCTAGATCAACATCTTTGTTTGCGAGATATTCAAGATGCCCTTATATTTATGAGATCTATAGCCCATCTTCAACTGTTATTTAGATGCAAATAATTGTTTAGGGCGGATTAGTGAATTGAGGATTCCAATAGTATACAAGAAAAAAAAATAAATAACCTCGCTAAAATTTGGGAAACTTCTAAACTTTTACATGTAACCGGGAAAAAATATCGGGAGTGATCCCCCTTGTGCTAATGTTTTGCTTCCTATCGATTTGTTTGATGTTGACACAATCTACCTGTCAAGGCCTGGATTCTAGCCGCTGTGGGCTGGCAAGGGTGGAGAAGAATGTACACTAATTTTGGCTTAGAAGATTCAAATTGTGACCAGGCTGTAGGATCCCCAGTGGAATTGAAAAAACGCACGGTAAGCTCTTGGTTTTTGGCTGTCACTGGTTAAGCAATGAAAAGAATATTTTGATTGAATCAAAATCAATGACAATGAAATGTGCATGGCATGTGTTGAGGGAGGAAGTTTTATTCACTCGAGTCGTAACCTCCAGTAACTGGTTTGGTGAGGAGAACTTGGGAAGAGTTCGGGACACGCCCATGGTCTGAGACAAAGATTTGATAGGCACTTTCTAATTTGTTTGTTCGTATTGTCCTCCGTCTTACATTCACCCACAACCCCTGGCCTCACCCAGTTTCTTCTTTCTTTCTTCTTCTCCTTGCCCTCTTAAAATCTTATCAATCTGTGAGACTCTAGGACTCTAGGACTACTCTAAGCCTATTATATGACTAGATTTAGATCTACTTTCTGTTTTGTTTAAAGGGTCAGTTTATAGTGACGTTGGTAAACATATAAAAGTTGATGAGAGTACACATTTTAGTGTTCTGTGTGTATACGTTTGTTGTTATAGTTATAGTATACCAGGCTGTTTGGAATTTGTTTAGATCTACTTCTACTTTCTCACGTTTAATTTGGGGGGAGGACTTCAGTAACGAGTGACCGCTCTGAACTTTATAGATCCCTACTCAATGGCCATCAAAATCAGTACGGAAGGCCTAAAGCCAGTATGTTAGTAGAGATGTAGATCTTGGTCTCTAGATTCTTCTCTATCTAGACCAAATGTTCATTGCTTCTCCCCCCCTGTCTTAAATATTTGATTTCAGAAGTCAAGCAATGCACACAAAAGAAGTACAGTCAAACCTGCCCTGACGGCCACCTCTATAAGACGGCCACCTGTACAAACGACCACTTTCCATTTCCCCCCTTGTGTTTTTTCTATAATTTACGAAGTGATTATTCGGACTCGAGTCCGAATATGAAAAAATGTTATTCGGACTCTGATTCTTGTCCAGCATGACATCACTTCCAA